TAATGAAACAGTCATGCCTGCTGATTGTTAAACTGGGTCCTCATGGATGTCAGAGCCTGTGCCCCTATGCCACAGCCACAGCCATCCGCCTTCCTCCCCAGTCCCAGGGCTGTGATGGACCATCCAGTAAATAACTCGGAGCTTGGTAGTGAGAGCTTTTCCCTTCCCCCCTTTCCCCACCCCTCCCTTCCTTTCTCTTCCCCCCACACTCAGTGGTGCTCAGGCTTGCTCCTGGCTCTGTGCTTAGTGATCACTCCTGGTGGTGATCTGGGGACCATATAGGTTGGCAGGGATCAAAGCCAGGGGTCAGCCATGTGCAAAACAGGCATCATCCCCACTGTCCTATTGCTTCAGTCTTTGGAAGCTTTTTTGTTTCATCATATATTGGGGTAACAGCCAGATGGGGTACCACTGACTGGACTTTTGTCCTCTTCCTAAGTTCCTTAAGGAGAAAAGACAAATTACAACACTAAAGCCTAGAACCAGCGTCTGCGGAGTTGCTGGCCTATGGCAAAGCACTTGGATAAAACTGAACTAGCCAACCCATATTGCACCTTATTCTTACTGAAGACCTGGGAAAGAAACAAAGATTCTGAGGTGTCTGCCTAATATGAGGTACCCTCATTTTATATCCTGTGCCATTCTCAGACACTGCTTCTTCCAGTCCTCCTGGGATCTTTGGCACTGCCATCTGACTGGGTGCGGATCTGCAGGCTTGGATGTAGGATGGGACTGGGGTGCAGCCTGTCGGTCCCTACATGCCAGTTCATTTTATGAGAAACTAAAACCAAACCATGTACAGTGAATTATTTGCTAAGTCTGGGTTCCATCGGTCCTGATTGCAAGAACCCCAGCAACTCCTGCCTCTCAGAAGCATCACTTGAGACAGGTGCATTAGGCCAAGCTTGGTGCTGATCTCACCACAGTGAGTCACATACCAGCACCTCAACCAATTAGTGAGAGTCAGCATCTCGACTGGCTGGAAGGACATAGAAATAAACCCAAATGAAAGAGTCACAGGGACCTGAGTTATGGGAGGTGATGGTTGGTGCTCAACTCCACACAGTGAAAGTGATTCAGCTTCCAGCTCATGCTGACCCCCAAGCCTGGACCCACTTTCCTTCTGACTATGACTGTGGGATTGGGGTTTTATGAGGGGGAGCTAGGATACACCCATGATGCTCAGGAGTTCCTCCTGGCTCTGGATTCAGGAATCACTCCTGGCAGTGCTTGGGGACCACATGGGATTTCAGGGATCCAGCCAGGGTTACCTGCATGCAAGAGAGGCACCTGACCACTGCAATATCACTTCAGCCCGAAACACAGATGTTGTAGAGTTGGGGTGTGTTGAACCTGGGCCCTACCTGGTAAGAGCTTTGGTTTGCACCAGGGACTTGGTTTTTGTTTTGTTTTGTTTTGTTTTAATTTTGTTGAATCACTGTGAGAAAGTTACAAGCTTTCATGTTTGGGTTACAGTCACACAATGATCAAACACCCATCCTTCCACCAGTGCACATTCCCCACCACCAATCTCCCCCATATACCCCCCTTCAGCACCCTCCCCCAGCCTCCATGGCAGACAATATTCCCCATACTCTCTCTCTATTTTGGGGCATTATGGTTTGCAATACAGACACTGAGAGGTCATGATATTTGGTCCATTATCTACTTTTGGCACACGTCTCCCATCCTGACTGATTCCTCCAGCCATCATTTTCTTAGTGATCCCTTCTCTATTCCATCTGCCTTCTCCCCTCCACTCATGAGGCAGGCTTCCAGCTATGGGGAAATCCTTCTGGCCCTTGTATCTACTGACCTTGGGTATCAGCCTCATGTTATGTTATTCTATACTCCACAAATGAGAGCAGTCCTTCTATGTCTGTCCCTCTCTTTCTGACTCATTTCACTTAGCCTGATACTCTCCATGTCTATCCACTTATAAGCAAATTTCATGACTTCATCTCTCCTAAGAGCTGCATAATATTTCATTGTGTAGATGTACCAAAGTTTCTTTAACCAGTCATCTTTTCTAGGGCACTTGGGTTGTTTCCAGATTTGGGCTGTTATGAACAGTGCTGCAATGAACATATAGGTACAGATGTCATTTCTACTGTGCTTTTTTGCATCCTCGGGATATATTCCCAGAAGTGGTATTGTGGGGTCATATGGAAGCTCAATTTCTAGTTTTTGAAGTACTGTCCATATTATTTTCCAGAAAGGCTGAACTAGTGGGCATTCCCACCAACAGTGAAAGAGCATCTCTTTTTCCCCATATCCATACCAGCACTGGTTGCTTTTGTTCTTTTTCTTTTTTTTTAAATTTTTATTAGTGAAACACCATGAGGTACAGTTGAATACTTACAAATTTTTGTACTTGGGTTTCAATTATACAATGATCAAATACCCATCCCCCCATCAGTGCCCATTTTCCACCACCACGGGTCCCAGTATCCCTCCCACCCCCCAGCCCCCCCACGCCACCCTGCCTCTGTGGCAGGCATTCCCTTTTGTTCTCTCTCTCCTTTTGGGTGTTGTGGTTTGCAAAAGAGGCATTGAGTGGCAATCATGTTTGGTCTATAGTCTACTTTCAGCATGCTTCTCCCATCCTGGGAGGATCCTCCCAACACCCTTTATTTGGTGCTCCCTTCTCTATCTGAGCTGCCTTTTCCCCTAGCATATGTGGCTGGACTCCAAGCCATGGAGCAAAACTCCTGGTACTAATCTCGGCCACTCCTGGGTGTTAGTCTCCTATTTTGTTACTTTATGTTCCCCAGATCAATGCAATCTTTCTATGTCTGTTCCTCTCTATCTGACTCATTTCGCTTCACATGATACTTTCCATGTAGTACCACTTGTATGTAAATTTCACGACTTCATCTTTTCTAACATCTACATAGTACTCCATTGTGTAGATGTACCAAAGTTTCTTTAACCAGTCATCTGTTCTCAGGCACTCAGGTATTTTCCAGATTCTGGCTATTGTAAAGAGTACTGCAATGAATAAACAAGGGCAGATGTCACTTCAACTATAGTTTTTTTCCTCCCTGGGATATATTCCCAGGAATGGTATTGCTGGGTCAAATGGGAGCTCAATTTCTAATTTTTTGAGGATCATCAAAAAATCATCATCATCATCATCATCATCATCATCATCATCATCATCAGCCTGTTTTCCAAAAGGGCTGAACCAGTCAGCATTCCCAACAGCAGTGAAGGAGGGTCCCTTTCTCACCACATCCACGCCAACGCAGTTTGCTTTTGTTCTTTTGGATGTGGGCCAGTCTCTGCAGTGTGAAATGATATCTCATTGTTGTTTTGGTCTGCATTTCCCTGATGATTAATGATGTAGAGAATTTTCTCGTGTGCCTTTTAGCCATTCGGATTTCTTCTTTGAGAAAGTTTCTGTTCATTTCGTTGCCCCTTTTTTGATGGGGTTGGATGTTTTCTTCTTGTGGAGTTCAACCAGTACTTTATATATCCTTGATATCAACCCCTTGTTGGATGTGTATTCGGTGAATATCCTTTCCCATTCTGTAGACTGTCTTTGTATTTTTGTCACTGTTTCTTTTGAGGTGAAGAAGCTTCTTAGATTAAGATAGTCCCATTTGTCTATCTCTGTTTTCACTTGCTTGGCCAGTGGTGTGACATCTTTGAAGATACCATTAGCTTTAATATCATGGAGGGCTTTTGCCAACTTTGTCTTCAATGTACCTTATGGATTCTGGTCCGATGTTGAGGTCTTTAATCCATTTTGATTTTACTTTTGTACATGGCGTTTGGCAGAGATCTGAGCCCATTTTTTGGCATGTAGCCATCCAGTTTTGCCAGCACAATTTGTTAAAGAGGTTTTCCTTGCTCCACTTCACAGTTCTTGCTCCCTTGCCAAAGATTAGATGATTATATATTTTGGGGGAGATGTCAGTATATTCAATCCTGTTTCATTGGTCTGCAGCTCTGCCTTTGTTCCAGTACCATGCTGTTTTAATTATTACTGCTTTGTAGTAGAGTTTGAAGTTAGGGAGGTTGATTCCTCCCATTTTCTTTTTCCCAAGAATTGCTTTAGCTATTCTTGGGGGCTTATTGTTCCATATAAATTTCAGGAGTGTTTGCTCCATTTCTTTGAAGAATGTCATGGGTAATCGTAATAGTTGAATTTGTACAGTGTTTTGGGAAGTATTGCCATTTTCACAATGCTTTTGTTCTTTTGTATGTGTGTCAGTGGTGTAAGATGATATGTTGTTGTTATTGCACCAGGCACTTGTTAATTCAGAAAATTGGTGGTGTCTCTGGGCCAGAGAGATGGCTTGATTAGGAAGCCTGCAAGTTTGGCAGGAAGAGCATGGCTCCCAGAGTAATACTGAGTGATGAGCTAGGAGTAATCTCGAGCGCCACCCAGTGGCATCTAAGCAAACAATAAAAACAAGCCAAACAAAACTGGGCCCGGGGTTGCCCTCCAAATGTGCTAAAATTAAAAGGGTTTTCTAAGAATTGTTCTCAGAAGTCTTGGGAACTTGGTCTCTGAGAAAGCCTGCTCTTAAATGGATGCAAGGAAATATTTTAGTTTTGTTTAATTTTTTTTCAGGGCCATATCTGGTGGTGCTTGGGGTTTACTCCTGGCTCTGCCATGAGGAATGATTCTTGGGGGGACTTGGGGAGCATATGGGGTGCTGCAACACTGGGCATTTGCAGAACAAGTGCCCTGCCCACTGCACTATCTCTCTAGTCCCCAGGCCTTTGCCTCAGCAGTGTGCCAGTGAATCTTCGCAGTGCCATCTACAAAGTTAAAAATACTGACAATACTTGGGAACCTGAAGAAGCTTTAGATTATCCAGAGTTGACTGAAGCATTTTATTGCTTTCTAGAAAGAATTTTCTTGCAGTACCCGTGTGTGATTTTCCCCTTTACTCTGGGTGTGCTGTTCCTGCAGTTTGCAGCATGAATGCACCTGGAGAGACTCAGCATTCTGCCTCACTCTGATGGGCTTCCGTTCCCTGCCCTAGGGAGCTGTTGGAGACCACCTGTCGCCTAGCCAACACCCTCAAGAGGCATGGAATCGGCCGTGGAGACCGAGTGGCCATCTACATGCCTGTGTCCCCACTTGCGGTGGCGGCGATGCTGGCCTGCACCAGGATTGGAGCTGTGCACACAGTCGTCTTTGCTGGCTTCAGTGCAGAGTCCCTGGCTGGGAGAATCAATGACGGTGAGATGTGCTGCACAAGGGAACAATCGAAGGGGCATTGGGTCTTTTTAGTGGGGCTTGATTCACAGGGACTTGGGATGGAGAGAGACAATAAAGTCAGACAAATGGTGGATGCTACCAGAGAAAGGCACATAACTGAACGGACATTTATTTCACAAACTGAAGCCTGAGTGTATTGAATTTAAGCAGGTGGGAAAAAGAGGGAAGAGTCTAGTAGTGAGAACACACAGGTTCTGGCTGAGTATGGAGGAGCCTAGCATGTGCGAAAGGAGCAAGGGGAAATGGGAGTAAGGGGAGAAGATGGGAAGGGAGGGTACCACTGATAATGCATGATGGGGTGAGGGAAGGGGCATGCGTAGCCTCCTTCCCCACCCCATCCCCAATTCTTGTGCCTTCCCCAAAGAGATTTCATGGAGAGCACAAAATGTTTAACGCGAGGCTTATTTTAAAAATAAAGGAAGCAAACAGTCTGCTGGGAGTTAGAGTGAGGTGGTTGATTAAGGAAAAGATCAAAGAGAAAAAATCATTCCTGCAAACACAGGGACACTGGGAGTGTGGGTCAGCTGTTCTCTCTCTCTCTCTCTCTCTCTCTCTCTCTCTCTCTCTCTCTCTCTCTGGTTTCAGAATCCCCACCTCCTATTTCCTTCCCAGTCTATTCTCCAAAGGGTTAGACATGAATGCCAACTGAGCCTCTTTTCTTAAAAAGCAATTACAATTTCAGGACACCTTATATTTGGCTCTTTCCCCAGCACCAAGTTGACCTCATCTGAATCTTTCAGCTTCATGAGAAACATCAGTTCCCCACTGCTGTCTGTGTCACTGATTATTCATTCAGGATCCAGACCTCTGTCGAAGTCTCTTTTTGTCAGTGGCATTTCTTTGCTCCTTTGATTTTCTATCAACAGATTCACTGTCAGAAAAGATTTTCTTTTAGTCCTGTTTCTTTACCAGCTTTTTTAGAAGAAATGCTTCAGTCAACTCTGAACAATCTAAATCTTTTTCAGGTTCCCAAGTATTGTCAAATTATCAAAGAATTTGTAAATCCTTTCCAATTCAGAAAATATTTCACCTTCCCATTTACTATACTTTGGTCCAGTACTTTTTTCCACCACAAATTCTTCAGGCTCTATCTCTTCGATTTTTTACTCTTTCCATTCTGTTCTTCCCCATTTTTTTGCAATGTAGTTGGAGACTATTTTTTATTGCAGACTGTAAGAGCTATTGTTCACTGCCTCTTAACTGCTCTGGTCCAGGATCTGCAGCATCTCTGGCCCTGCACGCCTCAAGCTTAAGCCACAGCTGAGGGGGAAGGGATTGGGTGCTGCTCATGGGGCCACCACCCTAGTCCATATTTTTTTAAGCTTTTGAGCCACCCCAACAGTGCTCAGGCTTAGTCCTGGCTCTGTGGTCAGGCACCACGTTTGGCAGAACTCAGGTAATCCACACACAGTGGAGGGGATTGAACCCAGGTCAGCCCTGTGCAAGGCGGCACCCCACCCACTTACTTTTTTTTCCAGATATTTATTTTTAATCAAATCACCATGAATTACAAAGTCTCAAAGATGTTTATGATTGATTTTCAAGTGTGAGTTGTTCCCATGCCAATCCCTTCGCCCTCCACCAATGCCCTCAGTTTTTCTCCCACCCCTTTGATCTTCATTCTACTAATGTGGTATTATGCACTGATTACATTTTGTATGTTGAACCATACTAGCATTCTGGGAATAAATCCTACTTGGTCTTGGCATTTACTTCTGTCAGTCTGCTGCTGAATACAATTTATTTGAAACTTGTTGAAGGACATTTGCATCAGTGATTGTAAGGAATACTGGTCTGTGATTTTCTTGTGATGTGTTTGGTTTTGGTATTAGAGTAATGCTGCTCACATAGAATTAGCTTCAATCTGTTTCTTCCTCCATGAGTTCTTTTTGGAAAAAGGTTGCTTTAATGGTTAGCAGAATTTGTCACTGAAGAAAGTCCTGAACTTTACTTCTTGGAGGATTATTACTCAATTTTTAAACTCAGGGAAACTGAAACACAGAAATACTAAATTACTTGTCCAATGGTCACATTGCTAGAAGTGACAGAGCCAGGATTTGAAAATAGGCTTTCTACTGTGAGAGGTCATTAGAATTATATTAGACTGTCCTTTCTTCTCTTGCTGGTGTTGCCATAGTTACCAAGTATATCTGTGAAGATTCTTTGACAAGTTTAAGTTTCATGTTTAGCAGTTGGGAATTTAGAACTCCTGGAATCTCATATAATAGCCACAGCATGGAAGGTTTCTGGTCATCTTAGAAATCTTGAAAGACATCAGCAGGAGAAATCATTTTAGAACCTAATGCTTAATCTGTGGGCCATGACCCCATACAGGGTTGTGTTACTGAATGTGAGGGCTCATAAAATCTTAAAATCTTACTTTAAAATGTATTTCTTCATGATATATTATCAGTAAATGTTTGATTTTTATAGCAGTTATATATGACTATATATGTGGGGTTACATGAAAATTTCTTGGGCAAAAGGGGTGTTAGTGGAACAAGTTTAAGAAGCCTTGAGGCTTGAGGCCAGAGCAATAGTACAGCAGCTGGGTGTTTGTCTTGCACATGGCTGACCCAGGTTTGATCCTCGGAACCCATATGGTCCCCCTTGAGCACCACCGGGAGTAATTCCTGAGTGCAGAGCCAGGAGTAACCCCTGAGCGTTACCAGGTGTGACCCAAAAAGAAAAAAAAAAACAACCTTACAAGTTTAAGGAGCCCTGTTCTAGAAAGAAACCTTGCCCATCAGTAGTGTGAGCAGATACGTGCCCTTGTCTCTTCCTTAGGAAACCATATAATAACCCATTGCAGCTTTGATCTCTCCAGATCTTCTCAAGGAAATGTGGGGGCCTTTTTATTTCCTGTAGTCTTTTAGGATAATTCTAAATATCCTTTTTACTATTCCAGCCCTTCCTCTGAAGGTGAGGTGGAGGAGGTGGGTGAGATGGAAACATCTGTCTGGGAAATGTGGCAGTAAATGGTCTTGCTACACAGCGTTTTACTGGGCAAGGTAGGGGTTGATGGGCACATCAAGGCTTTTCCTCTAACTGTCCAGCTGCCTTGCTCTCTCCTCCTACTGCTGCTCTGAACTGTAGTGGCCATTGCTGGCATGGTGTGAAGAGGCCCTTTCCCCTCAGGAATCCCAGGACCGGTGTTGGGGAATGAGTCTCAAGAATTAAACCTCAGAGTAACTCATCTCCTCTCCCTTCACCTATCCTCCCTTTTTCACTCCATGGAGTATAGAGCCCTTGTTTGCCTCTCCCCAGAGCAAGGCCCAGTGCCGCCAGCCTCACACAGAGACAGCAGAGCAGGCTGACTCCTCTTCTGGTGTTGATTCTTGTTCTCAAGATGGGGTTTTCACACTCAGGATTTGAGTGTGTGGCTGTCGGTTTGGGCTGCTGCAAGGGTTGGGATAAGAGGAGACTCACCAGAAATGTCTGTGCTGTCTCTGCCAGCCGAGTGTAAGGTGGTTCTCACATTCAACCAAGGACTTCGGGGAGGGCGTGTGGTGGAGCTGAAGAAGATAGTGGATGAAGCTGTGAAGCACTGCCCCACAGTTCAGCATGTCCTGGTGGCTCACAGGACGGAGAACAAGGTTCCCATGGGGGATCTGGACATCCACCTTGAGGAGGTAAGGATACTTCTTTGCTTTTTTTATAATTTAAGGGTGGAAGATGGTGACTGGGTTAACTGGATATGAGTTTTATTGCCATTCTCAATTTGGGTCCCCAGAGCTGTCAAGAGTTTCCCGCTAGTATGGGATGGGGAAACATCATTTTTGAAAACAATTTTTATTAGTGAATCACCGTGGGGTATAGTTACAGACTTACAAACTTTCGCGCTTGCATTTCAATCATATAATGGTTGAGTACCCATCCCTCCATCAGTGCCCATTTTCCACCACCAATGGTCCCAGCATTCCTCCTACCACCCCTGCCTGGTCCCCTCCACCCAACCCCGCCTCTGTGGCAGAGCATTCCCTTTTGTTCTCTCTCTCTCCTTTTGGAAACATCATTTTTGAGACGGTGGAACCCAAGTTCCACAAATACTATGAACCCTCAATCTGACACCCTATTGGATCCTTCTCTTAACAGTTCTCTGCATCTGGAGAGCAAATAAATAATAAGTGGGTGAGGCATTTGCCTTGCATGTGGCCGACCTGGGTTTGATCCCGAGCCTACCATGCGTGACCCTGAATGCAGAGCCAGGAGGAGTCCTGAGCCCCAGGGGGTGTGGCACCAAACAAAAAACAAATAGAAAATGGAATTCTCATCAGCTCTGAATTCTGCTGCCTTGGGGACCCGGTTCCTGCGATGGCACTAGAGAGTGGAGGCCGAGTGTGTGCTTGTTTCTTTTCTCTTCCAGGAGATGGCCAGAGAGGCTCCCACCTGTGCCCCGGAGAGCATGGGCAGCGAGGACATGCTCTTCATGCTGTACACCTCAGGGAGCACCGGGAAACCCAAGGGGCTTGTGCACACCCAGGCGGGCTACCTGCTGTACGCAGCGCTGACACACAAGGTAGGCGCTCAGCACCACCGCCACGAGGGCTGGATTTACAGACAGTGCCTGTGAGTGCGAATAAGATGTTGATGTTGCCTACCAAGAGCTTGAGAGAAGGGCAGCAGACTAGTGGAGGCAGACAGGGCTCTGTCTTACTCCGATGAAGAACCTGGGGTCCCTGATCTGGATCTCACTGGTAGCCTGTGAGTCTCGCTCCTGTGTGTGTGGTCCACTGCTCTGAAGCTGGAGGAATCCTGCCTCCCGGGCCTGACCTGCTGCCTGCAGGCACATTCTGGTGCTTGGCCCCTTCTTCCTTCAGAAAAAAACTGTTAAAATGATATTGTTTACTACATTGCTCTTAGGAGTAATAGATGACTAGTGCATAACAAAACATTTTCATGAGCCTAAATATGATTATTTTGTTCTTGAAAAGAAAAGAAAATATCTTCATGGATCCTTAATAAGAAAAATATCTTCATGGATCCTTAATATCGTTGCATCTTAAGGCCCTCGTCACTTTGACCACATTTTATTTTATTTTATTTTATGTATTGAATTACCGTGAGCTACAGTTACAAAGCTTGCATGTTCGAGTTTCAGTCATACAATGATCAAACACTCATCCTTCCACCAGTGTACATTTTCTACCACCAATGTCCCCAGTATTACCCCCAACCCTCACCTCCCCCTGCCTCTATGGCAGACAATTTCCTTCTTACTCTCTCTCTACTTTTGGGCATTACGGTTTGCAGTACAGAGACTGAGAGGCCATCATGTTTGGTCCTTTATATACTTTCAGCACAGATCTCCCATCCTGAGCGATTCCTCCAACATCATTGACTTAGTGATCTCTTCTCTATTCCAGCTGCCTTCACCCCCACCTTATGTGGCAGGCTTCCAACCATGGAGCAATCTTCCTGGCCCTTGTCTCTACTGTCCTTGGGATGTTAGTCTCATATTATGTTCTTTCATATTCCACAAATGAGGGCAGTGTGACCACATTTTAAAAGTGTGAAAATCAAAAAGAAAAAGTTAAATATAAGTGGAAAGTTAAAAGGCAAGTACGTGTGTGAGGAAACACTATAGTGCACCATCCTGTTGGGGACATAAAGCGAAAAATACGGCACTGTATGCCAGTAAAGACATTGGTATTCATCTACAAGGTGGGAGATTGTGATGTTGGTGGCACCCCTGGACCCTGTCCAGGTGGTATAAGCACTGGCAATGCCACTTTGAACTAGACCTTTGCAGAGGTTAAGCTGAGCTCAGCAGAGAGCAGCAAAGGACACTGGGGGGCCAGGTGAGCAGGAAACTCAGGCTCTGCTTTTGAGAGAATCTTGTGCTTTCAAGGCTGAGAATATGTTGGTTTCTCAGTTAGGAATGTTCTGCTTCTGGATATTATAGGAAATGTTTACCTAAAATGTCACAAAGTCGATCAAATTGTTTATTTCACATCACTTTATAAGGAGGTGGAAGGCTCTTGATATTTTTGGCGTTTTTCAAAGTGTTACCAGGACACTCTTTGCATGTTCCACAAAGGCAGGGAAACATGGATGAGGGAACATCTTTGAGCTTCCCTTCTTTCATTGATTTCTTTTGTTTACTCTGGGGCCACACTAGGATGTTTTCAGGTCTTGACCGAATGGGGTGCCCAGTATCAAACCTGGGTTGATCTCTTGCAAGACAAGCTCTTTACCTACTGTCCCATCTCTCTAGCAGCCCTACCCCACTTCTATCACCGATTTTTTTTCCCTAAAAATCCAGAGGGCCGGAAACACCCAGCCACCTATTGCTAGAAGTAAGCACGAGTATTAGATGAATAGCAAAGCGAGCCCCTTTCCCGTCTCTAATAGGGGATGTGCCAGGCTGGCCAGCCAACTTAGCCCCTGTGCTTGGGAGAGGCGCCCCACTTGGACTCAGGCCACCCAGCAGGACTACCTGGTGCAGTCAGGGCAAGAGCCCTGCTTTTTGTGACCCTGAAGCTTGTGCCATGTCTATTCCATGTCTGTGACGGTAATGCGGGGCCCAGGACCATCCTTCTCCTGTGATGAAGAAAGCCCCCAGTGCCCATACTTGCTCTGCTCCCTGTGCATGTCAGAGAGCACGAGTGGCTTCTGGGAGCACGTGACAGGCTCCTGACACTCCTCTCTCTCCACAGCTCGTGTTTGACCACAAGCCTGGTGATGTTTTCGGCTGTGTAGCTGACATTGGCTGGATCACAGGACACAGCTACGTGGTGTATGGTCCTCTCTGCAATGGAGCAACCAGTGTCCTTTTTGAGAGCACCCCGATTTACCCTAATGCTGGTGAGCCTGGGGGATGCCAGTGGTGTCCCTTGGGGGATGGGGGTGGGAATAAGGGTGGTGGATATGGCTGCAGGGTGGGTGGTGCCTCTGTGGGCACCCTGGAGGCTGAGCTGGGGCCAGAGCAGAGCAGCGGGTCAGGAACAAAGCCCTGCCCTGCCACATCCTCTCAGATGGAGGAAGGCCCTTTCCCAGCCCTGCCCTGCACCTTCAGGACCAGGTTTTTTAGTAGGAGCGGCTGCTCATGCCCTGAAGTCGCCTCCATGGTGAGATGTCCCATTCAGGAGGTGGTCCCCTCCTCATGAGTCAGCATCCCCAACACTCTGTTTTGAGGGACTTAAGGCTGGGAAGTCTGCCAGAGGCCCCTAACCATGTGCTCCAGGGTGTTGGCAGCAATGTGTATGGAATGTCTTCACCCCTACCCACCTCCTTTCTAGGCTCCCAAAAAGACTCTGTAGGGGATTCTGTGGGGGAGGAGCTGGTTTGCAGGAAGTGCAGCCACTGCAGCCACTCCGAGCTCCACTGCCCCTCTGCAGTGAGTATGAGCTCCTAGGAAGTTGTGCTTGGCTGAGAGGTAATTGTGCATAGTGGCTGCTCTGTTTCAAGGGGAGTCTCTGCCACCTCTTTGGAGACCAGCTCCATGTGAATATCAGGTAATAATGCTACCTGCAATATTTCATCTTAATTCACAGTAATGCCGCTGTGGATGGATTCCTCCCCTCTCCCAAGTGGGGTCCATCCCGTCAGTGCCATGGTCCAGAGCTGGGCAAAGACTATTACATGCCATATTGCAGGGGAGCTGTGAGAGGGTACATACACGACTTCGTCCCCTCCTCTCTGTAGCCTCGGTGTTAGATGTTTGTTGGTGAACACTCACAAGGGATGTGGGTACTCTCAGGTGCTCCTGAGCACTCGGATGTGCCCTTGTGGGTATTTTAAGCACTGCACATATATGCAGGCTGTAACTGGTGACTGATTTTGAAGTAAGTTTACAGTTGATGCTGGTTGTCTCTCAGACTAACATGGAATTCTGACTTTTGTAGGTCGGTACTGGGAGACGGTGCAGAGGTTACAAATCAATCAATTCTATGGTGCCCCAACAGCTTACCGGCTCTTGATGAAATACGGTCCTGCTTGGGTGAAAAAGTATGACCGCTCGTCCCTCCGTACCCTGGGCTCAGGTGGGTGACCTCCCCTGCAGCAGGAGAGCAAGCTCTGTGCTCAGCCAGAGGCAAGGAAGGGACAAGGGGTTTTAGTCAAGAAATCTACATGGCCACATCTGATGATACTGATCAGAAGATCCCATGTTCCCCCACAGACCACAGGTGCTAACTCTGAGGTGCTGTCTGAATTCTCTGCTTCGTGTTTGTTTGTCTGTTTGTTTTATTTGTTTTGGGAACACACTAGGTGGCACCCAGGACTATTCCTGTCAGATCTTGGGGGACCTTATGTGGTGCCAGGGATATAACTGAGGTCAACCATGGCAAGTCAGAAACTCTGCTCGCTGTGGCTGTCTGTCTGGTCCTGGGTTTTATTTTATTATAAGCCCTTACCAAGTTAGTTAAGGCCTCACCTGAGCAGCTACATGGAATCAAACTGCAATCAGGGGCTCCTTCTGTCTCCCAAGTACTGTGATACATGAACTTGGGTGCTGTTCTTGCTGTGGACACTTCCAAGCAGAGTTGGGCATCCAAATACCTGCTTGGAATTTTTATTGTCACCAACACATATAGAAGCATTCTGCAAAGAAGTGTGAGTTTAAGGTTAGTTTCTCCTGGGAGGTAGAAGCCATCATGTTTGTTCTCTCTACTTTTGCTTGCTGATCTTCCTCTATAGCCCTCCACACACACCTGTTATCAGGTGTGACCTTGAATACAAGAGGTCTGGCAAGTCTCCTTGCTCTCTTTAGTCAGGACATGAATATGCTCAGTGTTTTTTCAGAGGAAGAAACTGGGGACAGTTATCAGATTTGGGTTTTGGAGACACAACTAGTGGTGCTCAGGGTTCACTCCTGTTTCTGTACTCAGGGAACCTTATGCAGTGCAAGGATGGAACCTGGGCCAGCCAAATGCAAGACCTTAATCCCTGTCTTATCTCTCTGGCCCAGAAATGTGTCTTTATTGCCTTTATCCACTTACTATGTTGCTGGGAACTGGTGGGGAACAGCGCTGGTGAAGGTAGTAGGGTCCTGGGTGCTTTGCCTGCAGTGCTATGCTGCCCCCTCTTTGTACCATCAGGTCCTGAACTTTCTGACCCCCTAAAGTCTTCTGCCAAATCTTCTTAGCTGTCCTGGGTCTCACGAGAGGCCTGAGCTGCAGTCTCAGATATCTGTTCTCTTGGCCGTCTTGCTGTCTGTGAGACTCTGCAACCTCAGCTCTGCATCCCCTCCCCTCCCTATGCCAGTGAATGCAGCAGGCCAGGGGGGAGCCAAGAGCATATTTGAACTCATCAGTATGCAGAGATTTGCATGTCACTGAGCTGTATTATTTGAAAGTTTGTTCAAATCCTCCTGTGGAGACTCATCCATGCCTCTGTGATTTACTAGGCTTAATTTTTATTAAGACACTGTGATTTTCAAGATTTTTCATAATAGCATTAATAGGTGGGCTCTTTGCCAACATATACTCCAGGGCTACCATGGAGATTCTTTTGAGTCAGTATACATTCTACACTGACCTACAGGACACAGCAGGCAGCATGGACTTTCAAGAGACCTCTCTAGGATGGCTACACATAGATGGCACATTAGTGACACTGTCTAACCCAGTGAGCTCCTGCTGAGGGCTATTGCATCAAGTCATGTCAGTCTGTTTGGGCAGCTCTAACAGTGTCATGTACTGGGTGGCTTATAAGCAACAATAATTAATTTCTCATTTAAAAAAGAATTAATTTCTTACGGTTATGGAGGCTGGAATCTAAAATCAGAGCACCAATATGGTGGATCTCTGGTGAAACCTTCTTGGTTCGTGGGCAGACCTTCTCACCGGATCCTCAAAGAATATAAAAAGCTATCTGATAAGGGCGCTAATGCCTTTTATCAGAACTCCAGCCTCATAGTCTCATCATCTCCCAAAGGCCTCCATCGGTTATTGCTTCCTTAGCAAGCACAAAATAATTTATTTTATATTGTTAATTACAACCAATGGCTAATGTAATTATCAAAAACTTGTTTAGTAAAAGAAAATTTTGAAAATTGTTAAATTTCACAATTAGGTCATTAAATTCATTAAGTTTTTACTAAGTTGTTTGTTGCTCTTTGAGCTTTCTGTGTTGTTTGTTGAGTGTATTTGTCTTCTATGCTACTTTCCTATCTAATTTGCTCTGTTCCTGCTGGACTGTCAGTGTTGTGGAATTTGGAGATGAGGCATTCCAGGAGCTCCAGGATCTGTAGAACTGGGCCAATGAATTTCAGCAGCTTGGCTTGACTTGCATCTCTTCCAAGATTAGTAGTGAAACTGTGAATTTGGGTTACTACTTACATGGCAGTGGGATATGAGTATGGCTATTGGGTCTTTCTGCAGTATGGGGGTGGGGGAGTTAGGAAGAGGAAGCTGCCTGTCCCCATTCCAAGATGACCCCATAATTCTCAGCCTGTAAAACGGTGAACCCGAAATTATTCATTGACGTGGCATCTCCATAAAGACCAGTTTTTTTGTTGTTGTTTTTGTTTTTTTTTCTTTTTGGGTCACACCCGGTAATGCACAGGGGTTACTCCTAGCTCTGCGCTCAGGAATTACCCCTGGCAGTGCTCAGGGGACCATATGGGATGCTGAGAATCAAACCCGGGCCGGCCACGTGCAAAGCAAACGCCCCACCCGGTGTGCTATTGCTCCAGCCCAAGACCAATCTTGAAGCAGTGAAGTTGGGTCATTTGTGTGGTTTACGTGGCAGCAACTGTAAGGTATGGGTGCAGCATCCAGCACTTTGGTAGGTGGACTCTTTCCTTCGCCCTCTCAAGGTACCCCAGAGTTTTAAGCCTAAAGACCAGTGTACTCATGAATCCTAGCAGTTTGGCTTGCATCTTTTCTGAGATAAGTAGTGAAGCCATGAAGCTGGACTGTGGGGTGTGGGTGTGAGACTTGACACACATTTAAATTTGGCTGTTGAAGTTTACATTTCTTGTTTTCAGTGCTGTTGACTCTATGATTTGAAAGTTGAATTAAGCCACTCCTCCACAGTTAGACTCACACCTTGACCCCTGCTCTCTATCTCTCCCCCTTCCATTTATATCCTTCTCTGTCCTTCTTCTCCCTGAACTATGGGACCAATGGTTCACCAGTAGGTGAGGCATCCCCAAGCCTTAAAATATTGCATTCCTTGTCAAGAGAGATGAAGTCATGAACTTTGCTTATAAATGGATAGACATTGAGAGTATCAGGCTAAGTGAAATGAGTCAGAAAGAGAGGGACATACATAGAAGGACTGCACTCATTTGTGGCGTATCAAACAATGTAACATGAGGCTGACACCTAAGGATAGTAGATACGCGGGACAGATAGATTGCTCCATAGCTGGAAGCCTGCCTCATGAGCAAAGGGAAGAAGGCAGCTGGAATAGAGAAGGGATCACTAAGAAAAAGATGAATGGAGGAATTGGTCGGGATGAAAGATGTGTGCAGAAAGTAGATAAAGGACAAAACATGATGACCTCACAGTGTCTGTATTGCAAACTATAATGCCCAAAAGTAGAGAGAGATTATGGGGAATCATGTCTGCCATGGAGGCTGGGGGAGGGTGGGAAAGGGGGGGTATACCGGGGATATTGGTGGTGGGGAATGTGCACTGCTGGAGGGATGGGTGTTTGATCATTGTGTGATTGTAACCCAAACATGAAAGCTTGTAACTTTCTCACAGTGAGTCAATAAATTTTTTTTAATAAATTAAAAAAATATTGCATTCCCTCATCCCTCATACATGGATGGCTTTTGCCATCTTTCTTTCTGTTGCTTTTGTTCAGAACTATGTCTGGTGTTAATCACAGTATACGTGGCAAAGTTTCACTGTCTTCGTGCTATCAAGTTTTCTGGTCCATGAGCATGTGCCAGTCTGTTTATTTATTCATTCCAGTCTTGGTGAGAAGATTTGGTTTTAACTGCTGTAATATACTTGTATGTTTGCTTTTAGTGGACACATTCACTAGTTTCTTTAGGATATCGCTATATTTTTTGTTCAGATCACGGATCATGGTCCTCCCGTTGTTCATCGATTTGCTCCAGCGGGCCCAGTAACATCTCCATCATGAGACTTGTTTTTACTGTGTTTGGCATATCGAATACGTCACAGGGAGCTTGCCAGCTCTGCCATGCAGGCGAGATACTCTCGGTAGCTTGCTGGGCTCTCCGAGAGGGGCGGAGGAATCAAACTCTGGTCGGCCATGTTGGCCGCTTATAAGGCAAACGCCCTACCGCTGTGCTATCGCTCCAGCCCATAGGAGAAATATATTTACCTTTAATAGGTAATTTTCCCAAACAGTCATTCAAAATCATATTGACTATGTCCCTTTTTAAGTATTGAAATATCCGAGTTGCCCCTCTACTTCAATTTGCTATACCAAACTCTTCTTTATGAAAACATGCATTATATTGCTTTTTCTCCATTTTTGTCGACTATTTGTTGTTTTTCTTTTTCACTCTCCGATGGTGAAAATATCTCATTGCATTGTGTATTTTTTGATGAACACAAACATGATGAACTGTTGTCCATGTTTCCCTGTATTTGCTTCAGGACATAAAACCATGTCCCTTGAGTTATCAGGCATAAATACCTTTCGGTTGTCTGATTTATTGAGACCTTCTAACCCATTTTTTTGTGTTCTGTGTGTGATTTCAGTGGGAGAACCGATCAACCATGAGGCCTGGGATTGGCTGCACAAGGTGGTGGGTGACAGCAAGTGTACGCTAGTAGATACCTGGTGGCAGACAGGTGAGAGTCCCCAAGGAGGAGGGAGCAAGAGCTGACTTGGGAGGGCATTCTGACAGCTGGATGCTTCATGTTAGTGAACGCAGAACATCATCACCACCAATGCTTTCTTATGGAACAGGAGGGGCTTGGAAACATGATAGATAACCACCAACACTAGCTGACTGGCTCCAGGGGCTGTGTAGACATCATCAGTCACCACCAACACTAGCTGATGGATCCAGGCAGGCTACATAGACCCATCACCACCTTTGCTTCAAGTCCTCTATGTGGTATTGACTGCCTGGTATCTGGAATTAGATAGCTTAAAGGCTGGACACATTTCCTACTAAGAGATTTGGGTTGTGCCCAGGCTTTTCTGAGCCTCTGTGATCTTGATTATGAATGAGTTGTGCTACCTCTGAGCTCTGGCTGAGGGTGAAAGAGAGTAAAGATGTTCAGCATTATCCTCGTAGGTGCCCCTTTCTCAACCAGGAGAGTCCCTCTGAGAGAGGGGCCTATAGTTTCAGAAATGATGAATCCACATTTAACTTTCAGTGGGAAAGGACATTCTTAGTGTGACATTTTGTTTTCTCTTTAGTATTTGATATACTAGAGAGTTTGGGGGAAAACCCCACTCCTGAGGTAATCAGAGTGGTAGGTTTCTGAGGGCTCCTCCTTGGAGCAATCAAAAGTCAGATGCCCCGCACAGCTCTGCAGTCAGGAAGGAGGAGGACTGACTCACTGAAGGCCTATGCTGGTCAGTGGAGACAAGCACCAGGGAATGCAATGAGAATGATTCTGGGCACCATATCTAGTCAGCGTAGGAAATGTTGGTTTGGAACAGTGAACATCCTCTGTCTGCTCTTGCGCGTGGTGGGCTGTGTCATCCCCCATGAAGAGATTCCACGTCAGCTGGAACCAGAAGTAGGAAGCACCATTTGACTCTGGGGATCTCAGCTCCTGCCCCAGTGCCCGCTGCTGTGGGCCTCTCTGGTTCTCACAGTGGAGGGGCAGCCTAGTTTGCCTCTGGGAACCCAGAGCCAGGGTCAGTTCAGTCCTGTTCTGTTTGGATAGACAGAGTATGGAGTGTCTGTCCAAACCCCTGTGAGGGCACTATTCTTCATAAACGAGTCCTCACCCGTGTCCAATGTGTGTCCCCTCCCCAGAGACAGGCGGCATCTGCATTGCTCCTCGGCCCTCGGAAGAAGGGGCAGAGATCCTCTCCGGCATGGCCATGAGGCCCTTCTTTGGCATCGTGCCTGTTCTCCTGGATGACCAGGTGTGTCCAGCCTCCCCAGGGCCTCACCCTCCCCTCATAACAGTTGAACAGAGAAACTCTTCAGCACCTGAGTGGAGGGGGCACATGAGCCATCACTGAACCCTCCAGCGCCTAGGTCCTTGCAGAGGGGAAATTTCTAGAAGGCTCTAGGGGCTCCTTGGGGGAGGTCTTGTTTCCCTGCTCCACACCAGCCTGCCTATGCTCTCATACTGTGTCCACATTTATAGGGGAACGTCGTGGAGGGCGGGGATGTCTCTGGGGCCCTGTGCCTTTCCCAGCCGTGGCCAGGCATGGCCAGGACCATCTATGGAGACCACCAGAGGTTCATGGATGCCTATTTCAGGGCTTACCCAGGTGAGCGTGAATGCATCAGGCCTATTTCCCACCCTGCTAGTGTTCGTCATTGAGAAAATGCATTAACACATTCTGTTTGTTGAGTGGAGGGTGGAAATTAGATGCAGACTCTTTGAGGCACCAGTTGAGCACTATTCTTTGCCTCCCCGGGGGGTTCAGTGGAAGTGTCCCAAACATCCTTTAGCATTGGATTCTGGCATGTGCTTAAGCTTTTAAGAAGGAAAAGTGAAGAAGCCACGTTTGACCATGATCGTGATGCCAGTGGTCTTCTTCCAGTTGGTGTTGATTTTTTCCCATTGGCTCTTGGACTCTGACCTGGAGCTGGCAGGTGCAGAGTTCCTGTTGGAACTGTCACCTTCAGTCTCAGACTAATCTGCAGTGGGGACACCTTGCTTGAGGGGCCTTGCACATGCCCCCCTACATAGCAGGACTTTACTTGGTGTCACTGCTGAATTGCCAGAATATTTGCCTTCTCTCTCACACAGCCAGGAGGGCAGTTTCAAGGTGCCTCCTGTCTCCTGGGACCAGGGGACTTCAGGAGAAGGCAGCAGGGCCACAGCAAGGTGCTGGACTTTAGCTCTTCATAACTGTCTTCTGCTCTTGTCTTTATTTTTTAAAAACCCATAGACTATGAAATATACTTTATTAACTTAAGTATGAAATTTAGTGGTATTAAATGCATTCATATTGCTATGCCATAATCACTATCATCTATGTCCAGAATTTTTCATTTTATACGCATTAAACAATAACTTCCCATTCTTTCTTCCACATTCTCTGTAAGTACTATTCTACTTGCCATTTCTATTTATTTTTAATTTTTTAAGGTAGCATAATTTACACAGTTGTAGTTGAGCTTCAGATGTACATTGTTCCAGCCCCAGTCCTACTCCCAGTGTGAACTTCCCCCCACCAGCCTCGTGCCCTCCCACCTGCCAGCCTGCCTCCTTGACAAGCACATTTTAAAGTTGGTTGTTGCAGTTTGGATCTCATGATTTCAGTGCTGTTGACTCTATGGTTCAGGTGTTAGCCTACACCACAGCTTTACACCATCAATGTTACAGCCACTGGCTCCTACCCCTATTACTTCTCATCCGCCTCTTCTTACACCCCCCCCCCTTTCTTTCCTTTCCTATGCTTCTCCTTTCTATAATCTAAGGTCCAGAACTTTCTTCCATAGTGAAAGGGTGGCCCCTGGGTTCTGCCTTGAGTCCTCCTGCCCCCTCCCAGGGAAGGGGATCAGAGTGCTCCCACTGAGACTCCTTGCTGTGACTTAGGCTACTACTTCACGGGAGACGGTGCCTACCGCACTGAGGGTGGCTATTACCAGATCACAGGGCGCATGGATGATGTCATCAACATCAGCGGGCATCGATTGGGCACCGCGGAGATCGAGGATGCGTTGGTGAGCATGGGCCAGCCTTGTCCCTTACAGCTCAAGTGCATCCATGTAGGTGCTGCTTGCCTTGGGGTTGGAGCAGCTGCCTGCGCCCTGGGTTCATCCTCTCACCATCAAACTGTGACTAATGCTTCTGTTCTGCACAGGCAAACCACCCCTCGGTGCCCGAGTCAGCTGTCATTGGCTACCCCCATGACATCAAAGGCGAAGGTGAGCACACTCCCAGGGAGCACCTTGACTGGTGATAGACTTTGAGTGCTTGAGGCTTTTCGTGGGAAGTCTATTGGCTTTCTCCTCTTTCTTGGGGAGCTCTGGGGTTAGGATGCTGAAGAGCACTTGTTAGACCGGGACTTGGATTTCTGAGCAATCTCTACTTGTCCTCTTTTTTTTCTTGGTTTGTTTTATTTGTTTGGGGGCCACATTCTGTGCTTACCCCTGGATCGGAGCTTAGGAATCACTCCTGGTGGGCTCAGGGAACCTTATGGGATACCTCGGAGCTAACCGAGATAAGCAGCGTGCAAGGCAGATGCCCTACCTGCTATACTATAACTCCAGCCCTGCCACTGTCCTCTGTTAAGCGCACGCACCCACACACAACTATGAGCTGCTTGGTCCTCAGTAACCTCCCAATGGCTCTCCATAGTCTGTGCCTAGTTTCATTGGGTGCCCCAGTTCTGAGGATGGAAACAGAATGCCATATACACAGCCTTTTCAGATGTGCTTGCCAGAGCCCTCAGGGCCGGCTCTACACCACTGACATGCTGGCTTCAAGCACTGGGGCCCTGGAAAGGAGTCAAACTGATGTCCTTTGACACAGTCAGGTGCTGTGGGCACTGAGAATCCACAGTTACAATGTTTTTGCCAACTTTATTCTCCACTCCAAGTTCACTGGTGCTGAATGTGTTTGCCTGGGAAGGGGAGGCGCGGGTGTGCTGTAAAGCTGCGTCCACTCCCTCAGGCGGATTCAAGTACTTATTGACCATTCCAGCCCTGCCCTGCCCTGCCCAGCCCTGCCCAGCCCTACCCTTCCCCACCCTGCCCTGCCCTGCCCTGTGAGACTGGACTCACAGCCCACCTGAGTGGCCTGAGATGGTGTGTTCTTCCTCCTGCTCTCAGAGACAGCCAATCCTAGCATGTCTCAGCTGTTATCTGCCTGCCCACCACACTTTTGTGTCATGATTTTCTCACTTTCTTTAATTTGACCCATGATAAAATTTAACCTTTGTTTAAATATCTGTATTTTTAAAAAAGGAAAAAGAGCACTAAACTGGGGGAAGGGGAAAATCTGTCTTCTACTACAAAAAAAAAGCAGAGAGAAAAATTATAACTTGGGGTGCCTTGTGTGGGCTATTCTGTCTGAGCTCAGGAGCGTGGCTGTAGAGAGGGGGAGGGGCCTGGGCTGCTCCTGTTCCTCTGGCCTTCCCAGGCTCCTTTCCCCACATCCTCAGCAGCTGTAGCTATGGCAATAGACATTTCCTTGATTTCTGTGTTAACTGCTTACATTACAAGTTAACACTTCAGGATAAACTCCAGAGCCAACTGTGACACTATGTATTTATTTGTCCTGTCCCTCTGCTGACCCTTGGTCTGAGTGATGCTCTGTTCCTCCCCCATCTCCTGGGCTCACTAACCCCCTGGCTAGAGCCTGGCAGCTACCCTGACTTCAGCCTGGCTCCTCTCCTTGGCTAGCCATGGCTCTGACTGGCTTCTGTGATGGAGGACTCCATTTGAAACTTCATTCCACATCAAGTTAAACAGTCTGAATGCTGTGTCCTGCACACTGGACCCACACCCATGGCTTTAGAACAACTTGGCCTAGTTTCCACTCACAGTCCCACATGCCTGCCCCCAGGGCATGACTGTCCCTTTGAATGGAAACAGGGAAAGGCCTTTCAGGTTGTCACCAGAGAATCCCACTGGCTTCAAGGGCCATATGAATGAATAGACCTTTGGGTCTGTAGTGATTACTGAAGATGTCCGTGATGGCTGACGGCAAACCTTTGCTTTTTCTTCCAGCTGCATTTGCCTTTATTGTATTGAAAGATGATGAAGGTGACACAGAAGTGTTGTTGAATGAGCTCAGGTCAGCAGTGGCCACCAAGATCGCCAAATATGCTGTGCCTGACCAGATGTTGGTAAGTAGATGTCCCCTCGGCGAGCTGGACCCTGCAGTGAGCCTATCCAGCTGCAGCAAGACCCTCACCAGCTGTTCAGTCCTGCAGAGAGGCACATTCTGTTGCTCAGATTTCAGGGAGACCTGAGATACCCCATCTCCTGCCCCCAGGGGAACTGAGCTTTTCCAAAGAGTTTAGAGCCCAGAGCAGTTCTTAATGCATTGCCACTGCCATTGCTGTCCAAAGAGCCAAAAAGATCTTCAGTGTAAAATTTTGAAATGCTAATTAACACCAGGACATTTTTCCCTGAAGGAACACTCAACTTTTAGGTAAGACAAAACCAACTACACCCCAGAGCCAGGAGTGGAGATGAACTTTGGCATTCCAGTGGTTCTGTTGCTCCCTGGAAGAAACTCTAGTATTGGCAGGGAGATGATAGGAGCAGGTTAAAAACGAGAGGCCATCCTGGGTGGAAGGTTTGAGCGTGACTCATGGTTGAATCTATCCTTTGGATCCAAATTATATGAAAATAGGACCAGAGACCACAAAGCCCCATCCCCACCCCACCCCCATTCTGGGGTGGGCACACTCATTCACCCTTCACTGGTGACTTGAAGCCACCAGGCCACACCCACACAACCCTTCCTTGCTAGGTCGTGAAACGTCTTCCTAAGACTCGGTCTGGAAAGGTCATGCGGAGGCTCCTGAGAAAGATAGTGACAGGCGGGACTCAAGATCTTGGGGATACCACCACCCTCGAGGACCCCAGCGTCATCAAGGAAATTCTGAATGCCTACCAGAAGTACCAAGACAAGCGTCAGAAGACCCACTGACCGGCAAGCCCATGCCTTTGTCTTGCCCTTCCAGAGAGTACCCCGCGGCTGGCCTTCTCTGCAGCCCAGAAGCTGTCGTCTTCAGTATCTGATCCACACTGCCGTGATGCCAAGTCTGCTCCAGAATCCCCTCTCCCCTTCTGTTGTGAAGTGACAGAGATGTTCTGTCAGCTATGGCTGACACTATTCCCCTGATCCTGATTCTTGTTCCTTAAAATGAGAAGTCATGAAAAGCCATTGCTCTCCACCTGAGTGTCACGGCTGACCAAACAAGGGGAAAGCTGGCAGAGCGTTTCTTAGCATCAGTGACTTCAATGGCACACAGTCATTTTCCAGGTAGATAATGCAGAGATGTTATTTTTGCATTTTTATATTTCAGAGGAACAATGTCCAAGCACACACAGGAAAATGTGATTTTAGACATGCTCGAAGTAACATTTAGAATTAAGGAAATCCCTCTTTTTTGCCTCTGCACCTGGGGAAACTGTGGAAAGAACCTTGAAGTTCTTGGCAACCATTTTTGGTGTATAGTCCTACCTCCCTTGGTTTGTTTATCATGAAATTAATAACCTAAAAACTGTGGTATGAATATGACTGTCTTTTCATTCCTAAGTGACTCCAGTTGCTTGTTCTATGATCTAGAAGCTGTTATCTGGATAAATAACCCCCTTCCCACCTTGGATTCCTCTTGATAGAACAGCATGCTCCAAGTATGTGGGCTTGTCGAGGTGTAAAATCAGGTGATTAGGTGGAGCATAATCATGGTCCTTGCAAATCCTGCCTAATGGTGGTAAGCACCTTTATGTGAGTCTTGGAATCTGTCTGACAAGTCTCACTCTCAGTCTTAATGTGCCTTAATTCCTCTGAACATTTAGCTAGGTGGTAGAAGTCGTTCAGTTACAAAGTGCAGCTTCTTCAGGCAAGCATGCTGGTGGGGGGAGTCTAGGGGGCCTTCTGTGCTGGGTTCCTGTGGACAGAGAAACGTCACCCTGGCCTTGCCCCTGCAATGGTGTTTAGGAGTATGGGACAAGGGTTGGGAGCTGAGCGACTTTGAGGGCCATGGAAGTGCTGGTCTACCAGGTAACTGAATATGCCTTTGGCATTGATGGGTGGCATTGATTATGGCACAGCTCTCAACATAGTCTGTGCTTATGATACTTGGTAGCCTCAGGACCTACCTGTTTGTGCTGGGCCTAGCAGTCGGTGGGCATGGTGCTATATGTGAAATGGGTTTTATATCATGTGAGTGACAGGGTCTCAGAATTATACCTATGGCACTTCAAATAAAGCTTTATTTTATTCCATCTCTTCTGTGTGCGACAATGTCTTCAATCTTAGAATGCTGTTTTTCACTTTTCTTGTGAAATATAATTCTCAGACAAATCTAGCAGGGGCCTGTTCATTCAGAAGAAAAATACTTGAAAAAAAATCTATCCTCTTATAGGAGTTCAATCAGTTCACACCTCTCTGAGGGCTATATTTTGTTGTTTTATTTTGTTTTGACTATTACTAGTATTTTATTTTATGGTTACTTTTAGGTCACCTTTTATTGTTTTTTTTTATTTTTATTAGTGAAACACCATGAGGTACAGTTGTAGACTTACAATTTTTTGTGCCTGGGTTTCAGTTATACAATGATCGAGTACCCATCCCTCCACCAGTGCCCATTCTCCATCACCAATGATCCCAGTACCCCTCCCACCCACCCCCATCCCCCCATCCCCCCATCCCACTCTGCCTCTGTGGAAGAGCATTCTCTGGGCTATATTTTTTGAAAATTGCCTGATTCAAGATTAGTGTGCTCATCCACACACCAGCCATGTGTGGCTATAAAGTTCTAGGTGGGAAATAAAGAATAAGAGGATAAATGTTCAGTTCTTTGATTGCAGAACTGAAGTCCACCTGCTCAGTCAGCCCAGGTGGTGACTGCAATAGACAAGGTAGATGCACATTCCCAGTACCACCAATGACTGTCAGTGCTGTTTTGGACCACAGATGGAAATGGGGGTACAGTAGTGACTCCAAGGCAGTCAGAAGCAGCACCACCACCTGGGGACATGAAAAGCACAGCTTGTTTGAGGGAGAGACTTCAGATCGCAGGTTATCCCTACAAGAGAAGTGAGAGAATGAGATTTTCTATATCCTTCAACAAATGAAGAAGAAGATTTAGAAAAACGTGCTGAGTTTTCAACAGGAGGTGAAAGCCCAAATCGCCACCCACAGAATCTGTCTCCTGAGCTGGGCCAGGATGACTGTTCCCAGTGATAGCATTTACGTGCCCCTGGGACAAGGGGAGGGAAGCTGGGGGGACTCCCAGGGGTATCTCTATGATAGATTGTAAATTTGCTGGAAGGCCACTTTCTAGCCAAAGATGTGGTTTTGTGCCTCCAAAAGTAAAAGAAGTAAGAAGTGGCGCAGAACTCAAATAGTCTGGTCACACACACCTCTGTAATGTGTGTCTGCAGGAGCAGATGGAACACACGTATAAACACAGGTTGTTTAACTTCTCTTTCAGTAACACCACCTTAATTTCTGTTGAGAACCATACTCATATTGTCCCCTCTGTCAGTGGTCCACCGTTCTCTGCTAGAGGGTTCATGATGGTCATTCAAGGATCCCAGTCTTTGGCCTAAGTGACATGTAAGGTGTTGTCATGTCACAGAGCCACTAAGAAACAAACATGGAGACAGCACTGGAAAGATTGTGGCCCACTTACTCGGGGCAAGGCTGCTTGAAGAAATGGCAAAAAGAAATGGTGAAGCGGGGAGGCTTGTCCAAGCTGCACAGACCTGCCTACCCCTGTACTTCTGCTTTGGGTTTTTGGTCATGAGTGAAATGTTCCAATGAAGATCCAACGAAAAGTGGCTGAGAAGCAGAGAAGGCAGAGAATCTCTTTTGGCGAGGAGACACAGAGAAGGGGTGTGACTGAAATTTGGAGATGGTTTTCTGGAACACTGTGTACCTTTTCCTGCAAGTGTGACCTGTTAAGTTTGTAATAACCATAAATCTCCAGACAAACAATACTTAGATTCAGAAAGAAGCAGTTGCACTTAGATGGTACCTTTGAAGAATAAAATTCCTTTAAAATGACTAGAACCAATTGTCATGCCTAAGGTAAGATGCAGTCTTTTAACATAATTCCAGAAGAGAAACACATATTTATATAAATATAAAACATTTTACATTCATGTAAGTATAAAATAGCATGTCTACTATTCATTATATTCTGGGGGATGCTGAAGATGAACCCAGGATATTATACTTACAGGGCTCTGAGTACTCGTCCACTGAGCTACATCCCCAGCCCTTGAGTCAAGCTGCACAGTATTTACCCTTAGGGAAATTCCGAGCTAAATAAGCATGTTCTCATTTTGGTTTGCCCACAGAAGCTGAGTTTATGGTAAAGAAAGGCCTCCCCACCGCTTGTACCAAGGACTAGTGGAGACTCCTCTGTGGAATTACATGAACTGTCAATTCTGACTTGCAACCACTCTGTCCACCACCCTCCCTTGTGATAACCAACTTTGGCAACAAGGACAGAAATTTTTCTACTACCTATTGATGGGGGGGTGCATTTTCACCTCCATAACCCCATTTCATTTTCACATCACTGTCTGAGGCATATTTTATTTCCACAGTCCAGAAGAGGAGGAAGTGGCAAAGGTCAAGTCTGTACCCTGACTTCACCTTTACACTGAAGGTTTGGCTCCTCAACATCATAACTTATTTGACTTAATTTTATTATTTCATTCATTATAGGAATCTCTCCCACAAAGATGGCGTGGGGGAAAGCAGGGACCACTCCCTGCTCTGCTCAGCCTATGATTTCATTAACAAACTCTATTTTACTTTATTTTTTGGGTCACATCTAGATGTGCGCAGGGCTTATTCCTGACAGAGCTTTTGGGAGTATATGTAGTGATCTGGATGAATCCTGGATTGGCTGCATGTAAGACAAGTGCCCTACTTGTGTTATCACCCTGGCCTAACAAGTGCAGCACACTTTTGTGCTCTGAGTAGCTCTGTGGATAGGGGAAAATTGCTGCTGAAGTCCAGGTAAAAAAATTTTCCTGGAGATAGTAATTTTTAGAGGGATAGAGGTGATTATACCATATGGGATGCTGGGAATCGAACCCGGGTCAGTCATGTGCAAGGCAAACGCCCTATCCGCTGTGCTATCACTCCAACCCCCAAACAAGCTTTTCTTGAGGATGTCTCTCATGTCCATCTTCCCTTGCTTGTTGCTTAGGCCATCCAAAAGGGTTCCCCAAAGGGAACCAATGTGAGATTTTGTGAATTTTTAAAAAATTTTATTTTGTTTTACTTTTATAAATTTGTTCACAATAATTCATTATATTTAATATTCAAATACCAACCCCAACACAAATCACTGTCACTGTCACTGTCCTCCCATTGTTCATTGATTTGATCGAGCAGGCGCAGTAACATTGTGAGACTTGTTACTGTGTTTGGCATATTGAATACGTCACAGGTAGCTTGCCAGGCTTTGCCATGCAGGCGAGATACTCTTGGTAGCTTGCTGGGCTCTCCGAGAGGGGCAGAGAAATTAAACTTGGGTTGGCCCTGTCAGCCGCATGCAAGGCAAATGCCCTACCTGCTGGGCTATCGCCCCAACAAAAGTACATTTAATATTTAATATAAACACAAATACATTTAATAATAACACAAATTACATTTAATATTCAAATACCAACCCCAACACAAGATCCAGCACCCATTCATGATGAAAACTCTCACCAAAATGAGTATAGAAGGGACCTTCCTCAATATAGTCAAAGCCACCTACCACAAGTCTATAGCAAGAATCATTCTCAGTGGGGAAAAAGATCATCCCTCTAAGATCAGGGACAAGACAAGGATGCCCACTATAACCACTTCTGTTCAATATAGTACTGGAAGTACTTGCAATAGCGATTAGACAAGAAAAAGACATTAAGGGCATCCAGATAGGAAAGGAAGAAATCAAGCTCTCACTATTCCCAGATTATAAACAAACACAAAAACAAACACTGTCTCCCCATTGTTCATCGATTTGCTCAAGCGAGCTCAGTAATGTCTCCATTTTTTGAAACTTGTTTTTACCATGTTTGGCAAATTGAATACATCACGGGTAGCTTGCCAGGCTTTGCTGTGAGGGCGAGATACTCTCAGTAGCTTGCTTGGCTCTCTGAGAAGGACCGAGGAATCGAACCTGGCTTGGCCAGTCTGGCTGCACACAAGGCAAACGCCCTACTGCTGTGCTATCGCTCCAGCCCATGCAGATTATATGATACTATATTTCAGGACCCCATAACTTCTACCAAGAAACTCCTAGAAACAATAGATTTGTATAGTAAAGTCACAGACTATAAAATCAACAACCAAAAGTCCACGGCCTTCCTATACACAAATAATGAGAGAGAAGAAAGTGACATGAAGAAAGCAATCCCTTTCACAATTATGCTTCAGAAAATCAAGTACCTTGGAATTAGCTTAACTAAGGAGGTGAAGGACCTGTACAGAGAAAACTACAAAACTAAATAAAAGAGGATGCAAGCTTTCCGCCACCCAAGCCGAGCCGGTCTCTCTCCCTAAATCCCCAGGTCAGTTTTGGCGCCGTTTCTCTGACCCCCGGGACTTTGGATTGCACCGCGCAAACCCCGGACGCCGGACAACAAAGTTGATCAGAGCCTCTCTGCCTCTCCCTTTCCACCGCCCAAGCTGAGCTGGTCTCTTCTCCCCACCCAGTCTTTTCTCCCGGGACACATACCAGTTAGCTGTAGGGGTGTGGCCACTTTAGAAGTGGGCGTGGCTTTTTAAAAGTGGGCGTGGCCTAATTTTCGGTGGGCAGCCGCAGGTAGTTTACATAAATCAAGAAATCTTATCCCTACACCTACACAACAACATGAAGAAACAACGCAAATCTCCGCCACAGGGAGACCACGAGGAAATAAGTCCAGAAGCCTCACTAGGTGCTAGCCACCTTAGGGACCTCTCTGACAAGGAATTCAGATATGAAGTCATTAAGTGGGCCTCTCTGACAAGGAATTCAGATATGAAGTCATTAAGATGTTCAATCAACTCGATGAAACAGTAGACAGATATCAGCTAAATTGAAAGAGGACATGAAAGAAACAATCGATCGCACAATCGACAAAATACAGCAAGAAATGAGAGCCGAAATTGGAAAGCTTCGCACAGAAATGGCATGCATCACAGATTCCCTAGATGAAGTCAAAAACTCACTCTCTGCCCTCAAAAATAGAATGACCACAGCTGAGGAAAGAATCAGAGACCTTGAAGA